TCTGATGCCAACTGAAAATACCTGTAGGATGACTAAAAATGCCTAGAGGGGGGTGAATAGGCTAATTCGAGTTTATTAGCAATAAATAACAATAGACTTTCGAAGCAGGATTGATATGGGTTATCAATCCTAAGATGTGCATAGCTGAAAGTAAAAGAACACGCAGATATTTATTTTTCGTGGTAAAACCCCACCTCTGGGGAAAATCCACGGGACTCCTCAGTCCAACACAAATCCACTATAGAACGATGATTACAAGAAGTACTCACACACTTATCCTAGACACATTCTAGATAATGTTTACCGACTTCTTCGTAACTCAACTTCTGTCACAGGATGATCTTTGACACTCCTTATGTTGAACGCAATACTGGTCACGATTGCTTTAAGCTCGCCGGAGGAAAACCGCCACCACGATCTTGGTGCCCTCAACCGTATGAGTCACCGACATGCATATGAATGCAGAATGAATGATAAAAGTGTTTGATAAATCACCAAGTAAACATGGAACACTTGATGATTTATCTCAGATATATGCACAGCAGCTTGTTTGGGCCTAATTTGACACACTCAGCTCGTATTGACTTTGGACAGCCACCAACAAAATCGGGCCAAGGTTTTTCATTCAAACCCAATAGTAGAAGCCCAGAAAACCATCAAACCGCAAGGATGACTTGGGCCTCGAAGAAACCCAAATTGGGCTTGGCTTGTTCAAAAAGATAATTAAAGAAACAGACCCACGTGACCCCCTGGCTTGGAAAAGTCAACAATTTCAACTGGGATTCATAAAGAATTAACAGGGGCAGGTATAAAAGGAACATCTCTGAAAAAACTCTGCCATTAGAAGATCAGAATCTTTCTATAATCAAAGATATTTTTTCTGATTCAAAGAAAGCACCATTTTCAAGGGATACGCAGGCTATGCTTTCTAAAAAAGGAGATAAGCAGGAAACAGGGAGTTGCTAAACTGGAAAATCAAACTTACCATTATAGTTTGAAAAAGCAATTGAATTAGAAGGAAGGTTAGGTTCCCATCAAAAAACAGGGAAGTGATTGCTTCAGGAACTGACTGTTGAGGGCTTATTTGCCAGAAATGATAAAACCCCATTTCTTTTGCATTTAAAATAAAAGATCTTTTGGGAATTTTTGCCGTCCATTATTAAAAATTAGAGCCTTCACTCCCAAAAAGTTTTCTATAAATATAAGAGAGGGTGAACAGATCAAAGACACAACTCAATCAAACAACCAAAAATCAGTCAAAAGACAAAAATTCAAAATGATCACTTGATCTCAGAGAGCCTTCAAGCAAATTGAAACAGCCAAAAGCTAGTTAAGCCACAAGAAAGAAGCCAGCTACAAATCAAAACTTCCAGTTTTAGACTTAGAAAAAGTCATTCAAAACGAGATTTCTCTCGTTACAAATTTGGTTCAGCAAAAGCCAAAGCAAGCAGAGTTTGAGTTTTTGCAAATACGAAAACCTCAACAAATTTATGAAGAGCCCTGACTAAGCAGGACAGATACCACAGTGCAGTTCTAGCTCAGCAATCCTCAAATTCAGCCACTTCTGCCCCTTTCAGACTGAAGAGGTCGCAGTTCTGCCCGTTCAAAAAGCCTTCCAAGGCTTGAAATAGATTAAAGCTCTGCCAAACTCAAGCTTTGGTATCGATTTACAGCTGAAGCTTAACAATTGAGGTTGTTGAAAGTCCAGTCCAGCACAGGCATGTCCAATCCAGCCCAGATCAGAAGCATTAGCCTAGTCAGAAATGGAAGTCCAGCTTTTTTTTTTTTTT